TTTGGTAACATTTTTTTCCGATAATAAAGCCTATTAATTTCTTGCGAATAAAAGTTTTCAAAGCAAAATTCGACAAGCTTTCCATTGCCGTAAACAATACCGCTTCGCGCTTCACAAAATGATCGACTGCAATTTGGAGTGTCATTTCCTACCAAAAATTGGTACACCCTCTACAATTTATTTGATCGTATCAAAGATTCACTTTTTATGCAGGCTGAAAGTACGTGTCAGATTCATTAATCTTTAACCACAACGAAGGTTTGACAATGAACAAAATTCAAGATCCGGAAACAGAAATGTCAAACGCAAAAGCAGTCCCTCAGACAAAACCCTCTTACTGCATACCATCAAATAGGTTTAGTCCGATTCTGAAAATTGTGATTAACTTAATAACGTTCGCTGCTTGGCAACTAAATCCCTTCTTCCGGTTGTGAAAATATTACGATTCAGTGAAAATCGTGAATTCTATATGAAAAGATTACATTTTTGTGGTAGAATTTCGAATTAGTGCTGACGTTTTCGCAATGATATCCGTGATTACTCTTTATACTTTTTAAACATAATAGGTAGGTTATTACTGGCATTGGCAAAGCCTCTACAATTTCCCCCAATAAGAGTATAGGTACGCAGATTTTTAGCAGTTATTTAATTGGTAGTTATAAAAGTAAACAATGTAAACTTGACTGTCTTTCAAATGGGAAGATTTCATGTATTCAAATCAAATTCATAAAGCAAGACATATAGTGTGATGTGGTGTGAATGTAACGTAATGCAATCAAATGTGACATCATAAGAATATAATATAATCAAATAAGTACTAAAAAAGTGAGTCTATAGGAATTTACTGTACGTATGGAATATTGTCACCTGACTATAGAAGTGTAAATAGATATATTATGTGGAGTTATAAGATTTAATGTTTAGAACAAAAGTACCTAGGAGAAAGGGGAAAACCAGCCTGGAATAGAAAGTTTTTCACAACAATAAACGCTTGAAGATCATTGTTTAGTCCAAACTCCCAAAGTGATGTGCGTTGCCTATATCGTATTACCTGCAAAAAAAATGATTCAATTAAAATTATGTTAAAAACAATATCGTAAAACTTTGAGAGGGTGTGCGGTACATTCGCCCCGGAAGACTCGCCCCGGTAAATTCGGCACCGAAAATACGGCCCCGGAATATTTGCCCCCGGAATATTTACCTCCAAAAAAATTCGCATAAATCTACTAGAATAGAGATTGAGTTCAAATACCTCGGATCCTACGTTACTGATGACCAGGGGATACCCACAGGGAAATTAACCATGGCATTCAAGCCGAGTGGATGAGTTCGAAAAGCGTCCTGAGTGACAGAAGGGTTACCTATTAGGAAATACATTAAAGAAGGAGTGTTTAGTCATGATTTATGGCAGTGGGACCTGGCCGATAAAAAAGGCTCACGAAAAGAGATTGGAGGAGGATGAGAGGAGAATGTTGGTGAGAGGGGCGAAGTGATTGAGGTCTTGGGGATGAAATAACCTTTTTGATGCTACATAAATATTCAAAGTACAGTTCAATTACATATCATTCATTAAAATCGGCGAAGTAGATTTGCTGTACCCCCGTGACCCGTCAACGTCAAACAACAATTGAACAAGCAGCAATAGACGAAAGTGATAAACGGTCATTTCTTCAAAATTGATTATGCTGATCGAAAATGTACATCTCTTCTATTTGACTTTCTGGAAATTAATATTTAATCCATCCATGGGACAAACTTATTGATTATATTATGAAGGATATAATAAAAAGATCAATTTTTTAATTGAAAATTAAATATAGGTAAATGAAAAGTTTTTCAAAGTATTGCATGGCTACAAAGAAATGGATCATTGCATTGCCCTAGTTAGCTCTTTACGTACGCTGGACTAAAAGTATAGGGTATAGGTATACCCGAAGGGAATTGAATTGGTTTAATTTCTTGTTTTAATGTGCAGTTTTACACATTACAAAACCGTTCTCGCATATATGTTCACATTTACAGACATAAAGCTTTTCACTACCTTTTGAATTATAGATGTTCCATTGCACATAAACGAAAGCTCGGTGACATTACTTCCACATAAAACAATTTTATTTCAAATTACCGACTACATTTTTGCCCTAAACTGCAAGGTAGGGAAACGTTAATTTCTAAATAAAACTGTAACGTTTACGGTAATAATGTTAATAAAATGAGTTAGGAGTCCGTAAAGCAAAAAAAAACGTAGTTTTAATTGTGTCGAAACGAGCTTTGCATGCACATGCGGAAAGCACTGTCGGCCGCTACAGAACGAGATGAATTAACAACATTCAATTAACGCTGACGTTTGATTTTGCTAATTAAAGGTTTAAAAAGCTCAATTTTGTTTTCTGTTAAAAAAACTGTTGGAGTTCATTCGTAGTCGCATTGCATTACTGTTGAGCTTTGACGATAACTACTTGATGTGCGACGATTTTTTTTCTCGACCTGCAGGAGAGTAGTTTGTTTCAATGAGTAGAATATGCGAAATTGCTCGTATGAATATTTTATTTACAAAAAATAGGCTTCAAGTCAGAAAATCGCAGTGCTAGGAGAAAAATTCCATTTTACTCTGAACCTCTTACTGCAAATTGCAATCGTGCATCCCTCAATGTATTAATTTTGAGCAATGGTCGTAGTTCAACATTATCCCTTCTAAGACAGTAATGTTTCATATTGTGCTGTTAATCTCCAAAACAGGGAGGATATTTTGATACAGTCAATGCTTGGGAAGTATATAGGATAGGGGGGAGGTAGTCTGGTAAAGATCGCCAAAAAGTGAGCTTGGGTGGGTCAAACAATTATTTTGATCCCGAGTTGGGTATGGTAGGAAAATAATTTGAACGTCAAACAGATGAAATTTTCTTTTCCAAAGGGCCAATATTTCATATTTCTGTTAAGCTGGTCAAATAGATGACTTCCTGTGTGAATACCTTCGTTTCCACGAAAATTAACTGTCAGATATCAGATAAGTGTAATTGGGGCATGAAAATTCGTCGGCCTTACGTGCAATTATTGTACCCATTTTTGAATAGTATCGAATCATAAAAATTGAATTCATTAATAGATAGTTTTATGCAAAACTTTTTTGCCAAGGTAAAAAATTCATTATTTGGTGCGAGCTTCTGCAACCCTTCGTTTAGTGGCTTACTCGGTGGCTTACGTAATAGAAAAAATTGGTATGAAAGCTCACGACTTATAAAAAATGAATTAAACTGCTTGTCGTTTTAAATAGATAACAAAAATAGTCTAAACAATGATTTCTTGTTGAAAATTTAGCTGGTTAGGACGATGACGCGTTTTGATGCCGTTCACACCTCCTCTTTCATCACCGCCAACTACTACCAAAGGAACAGTGTCGTTTTGGTTAATATTTACGAACTTCACATCCATTCCTCCGCTCCCGCTTATCCTGATATTTTTCGAACTCCCTACAACCTTTTATTTCCGCTTCTTCCACAACCGCCGGCATCCCTGCTAAAAAATGTACCTATCCCACAATTTATACCGTTGGTATAAGTGACCAAAAGGATTTAGTGCACAAAATGGCGCTTTTAATTGCAGAATTTGAAGAAAACGGATTGCAATTGCATGTAAAAATTAATGTTGGAGAGCTTTGGTCGGTATTACCAGAAACACAAATCGCATACACTGCCAAAACCCAAAAGTGATTGAGTAGGGTTCAATTAATTTGAGTTTTACATTTATGGTAGCTGGACCATTGTAGTTTCGTCAGAAATTAGACTTTTGGAATTACCTGTGCCAACTTTAAACTGTTCTTCGCCATTTAGTCAGTTATTTGACCATCATGGGCCATGATTGTCATGCATTCACAGTGACGCAGGCTTGTGTTTCATTCCGCAAGGGAGGAATATTCCTCGTTGACCCGTTTAACCTTCCAAACACGTGAGCAGTTACTAAACGTTACCTCGTCTCGTGTTGTTATGTTTATCACCTTAGTAGAAGTCGTGCACTTTGCCGCCATCTTGGATTTTATTCGCGGGGTCAATCAAGGTCAATTAAATTGATTCGCGGGTTCGCCCCCGTGGACGAGGGGTGTTTTCGAGGGTGGAGGGGGGAAATTTGGAGTTTGATTTGATTAATTGATTAAAAACTGTGGGATTTTGGTCTTTATTGACATTTGATAAGAGCGCTGACGTAATCGATTAATTTAATTCGCGGCTTGATTAATTTAATTTGTGGTTTGATTGATCTAATTAATTTAATCCGCGGCTCGATTAATTTAATTCGCGGTTCGATTAATTTAATCGTCGTTTTGATTGATCTAATTAATTTAATTCGGGGTTTGATTGATCTAATTAATTTGATTCGCGGTTTGATTAATTTAATTCGCGGCTTGATTAATTTAATTCGCGGTTTGATTTCTCGGAATTTCCTCTAATTAATTTAATTTGTGGATTTGATTAATTTAATCCGCTGTCCGATTAATTTAATTCGCGGTTTGATTGATCTAATTAATTTATCGATTAATTTAAATTGATCGTATAATCAAGAATAATTACACATATGTAATAATTACACACACAGGTAACTCTAATTGAAAACAAAATGGCGGAAAAACAAAATGGCCGCCAAGGGCTGGAAATTTGAAATTTTTTCTATCTTTCTCTCTTACTCACTGCGTCTATCTCTCTCTCTTACTCATTGCGTCCCTCTTTTACCTATTCTGAAATAGAAGTTAGAAAATGAACAAGTTTTAATTATGTTTATTATGGTGCAACAATTAACAAAAAAAAACATTACAATCAAAAATTAAGCGCAAATTACAATTTAAAATATACAATACAAACCCGTTTCCACACCACCCAGGAGGTAGAGTTAAGGCGCGTTTTTTTAACGTGGTGTTCCCCTGTAGGCCTAGTCCACAGAACGTATTTACAAACTTAAAAACTAATATGTACAACTTAAAATTAAATATGTACAGTAACTATCAAAAAGAATTACTTCTTATAACCATACGGTAGTGTGTCGCAGCCTACAGCTATGCGGCGACGCTTTGTGTACGCGACACGATAGCGCTTCCTCTCAGGCTTGGAGATGACGTCGTATGTACAAGTCCTGGCTATACGACGATCAGTCTCCACAAAAGTCTCTGGGGCATTGTTCAACACGGCGTCCTTGATTGTTTCGAAATTCACCACAGCACTATTTTTGTAATTTAGGGAGATGCCCTTAACCTTACACACTACACTATAATTGTTAGTACTTGGGGAAAACACCTTGAACGCATAGTTTTTCGGTCCACCACTCACAAACTCAACTATTCTGCTGCCGGGGCCATAGCATTCCACCTCGTCAGTCATATCTCCCAAGAAGTTGCCGCAAGCTGGTGACCACTCTCCGGGGTTCTCCGTGAAGATGACTGAATCGGTGTCAAAGTACAAGACTCGTTCACCCAGCTGCTCGAGATAGCTGTAGAGTTTTAGGCGGGCATGGGCGGTTGTATAAGCTGCCAACACCACATTGGTGGTCCTCAGGGGTTCGACGGCTTCTTCGGGGAGTGTCCAGTTGACGATGAGGGTCTCGTCGTTCACGGGAATGATCGAGTTGAGTTCCACGGCCGGGTCAGTGAGCATTTGGAAAAACTGCTCAGGCTCTGAGACAATTGCGGTTTTCGTCAGATTGTCGCGCTGTCCAAACTTTCCCCAAAACGAATTGAGGAAAAGTTTGGCAATGTAGCGAAGCCCTGCGTTCACCGCAATCTTGGACCGGTCGAGTTGGATCCCCTCGTGCTCCATGTAGTCGGCTAGGTACTGCATACAGGCCTCCTCGTCAACACACCAGGATGGCCACCCACTGCATTCTTGCTTCGTCTTCAAAAAGTTGTCGACGTAGCCGGTGAATAATCCCCCGCTCTTTGTAGCCTTATCGTACTTGGTGGTACGGTACTCCCATACTTCTTGTATGTCCTCCACTACGTACCCCAAGGAAATGGCTTTACGGAGTTCATCGGCTACGTATGTGCCACTGAACCTCCGTTCTTCTTCAGAGTGCTCACACTCATCCTGCTCCATCGTTTCGCAACATGTGCGGCATAGCGGAAACATGAGCTTGCCGTGGCAACGGTATGGAAGCACGGGGTGGTAGAGGTGTTGGGGCGGCAGAACCGTGCACTTCATTATGCCTTCCACGGAATTAAGATTGACGGTGCGAAGTTCTTCGGGGGTTACAAGTACGCGCGGGTGGCCTACAGGGTATTTTGCGTACTTGTTGACGTAGGGGTACAGGGAGCAGACGTCCAAGTACCTTATCACTTCATCGCCTTCGGTCTTGTGATACAACTTGACGGCATTCGTACGTCCGCCAAAGAAACCGTCTCGGGGGTTTAGGGGCTCATTTTTTACCACGTTGTGGTTTTCCAAAAATTCGGCTATATCCGGATTATTAATGAGGTACGTCTTGAAGTCGCACTCCCACATTTCCACGAGATTGTAACCTGCGGCCCTAATACGTACTGACGTCGCCTCAGTCTTCTCGCGACGCACTCCCATCGTGTCCGTTTTATCGCCCTTCAGCGCAGCCGTCTGATCGGAGTGACATCTCTCGCACCCGTGGAAGTAGCAGCCATGGAACTGGTAGACGGTGTTCGTTGCTTGGGAGTACCCGTCCACAATGATCCCTTCCTTTAGGCGCACTTCTCGGGTGTTGCCGGCATGTTGAAGATCGGGGATTTCACGGTTTTGCAATAGCAGTAACCATTTAATGGCTACTTTACTCTGGTTATCGCTTGCTCTGTAACCGCCGTGAGGGATGAGCCCTATGGTCTCTTCCTGGAGAAAGTTTCTTCGGAACACGAGACTGCAGGCGGAGGCAATTGTGCAACACTCTCTGAATGGGTCGACTTTGTTTTCGGTGACGAACTTGTGCCAAAATTCAACGCATGCACGCCGTAGGATGTTGACGTCCTGAATGCAGTATTGTACAATTTCCGCTTGGAAATCGAATACAGCGTTGCGGATTACCTCTCCATTGTACCACTCAAGAAAATCTTCACGATTCTTCGCAGACATCTCGTCACAGCCATAGAAATGGGGTGCGGGCATCGGGCCGACATAATCTTGATTAGCAACGGTGTTGAAGAAGTGCGGAAAGTGACCCTTTGACCCCTCAAAATTGAAAGTTTTTGGGAAAGCACTTAATGGAATCGGTATAAAATTGAGACTGTCGATGAATCTGATGTTGTTATTGCACGCGAGCGAAGTAATTTTTGTGCCTGTCGCAATTATCTCTGGGTTCCAGGCAGAGGGAGTCTTCATCATCTCCTTCAAAATGAAAATACTGTCGTAGCCTTTGCTGTTGTGCGCGATAGCCACGACATCACGATTTTTCTTGGCCAATGATGACACCAGACTTAAAAGTTCATCGACAGGGGCTGTTTTAAATATATGTTGACGGTTACCACAATTGTCACAAGGCATATTAATGTCCTTATTGTTTACGATGCACGTCTTGCACACGTGTTGCGCGACACAAAGATTGGGGATATGCACGTAAGTGTTAGGTCGGTTTTCAAACTGTTCGTCCTGGCGGCACTCAAAGTCGTAGAAAACAAACACAAAGTCTTTGTCTAACTTTTTCTTGTTTGGGGAATTCTTAGCCATATAACAGAGGTGACGTATGGGACGTTCTGCGTTGCAAGTAACACATAGTTTGAACCCGCACTTGTGGGGCTTCTTATTTTTCCACACGGTCGCTAAACACGTCCGACATCGACGTACTTGCGAGCATAAATTCTGGTCTTTATGATAGCGATAGCAGTCCTGTCCACGGAAATCGCGATTACACTCCGCGCACTTAATGTTCACAACATCCTTGTTGCACGGGGGATTGTTGTGACAACAGGGACAAATGTACTTACAGTTTTTGTGAGCCTTACGTTCACTCATGCGTACACGACACGACTCACTCAGCTACAACTAAACGCGGACGTTAGGCTTGTAATCACATTGTAATGTTCATTCTCCATGAGGAGGTTTAGCACTTGACGCTGAGGGGCTCGTGGTCCTTCGAAGTACACCGTCTTGCCCAATCTGTGGTTGTACACGACGATGGTGAAGTCCGTCAGGTAATTCTGGAACTGACGTATGTGCTCAATGGTCCCTCCGTTACTCAAATCTACGCCTGCCGCAGCATACAATTCTCGGGCTTTTTCTGTCTGGAGAGCATGTCCAACTTTCAGGTATGGTAAATCTGGGCTATTGTTACGGAAAGCTATGGCGGTGACCAGCGCACGAGCGAGGCACAGAGTATCATTGTTGTTAATGAGAATGATACCGTGTTTTCGCTGCGAGAACTCCTCAAAAGTAACACCCGTCATGCGTTGCCGCCCCTTGCCATTAGGGAGGGTAATTAGACTCACGTCAACCCGTAGTGCATCGCTGGAGAAGAACGCCTTATTACTTTGCATAACCTTGTCCATGGTCTTCAGCATGACGTTAGCATTCAGTTGGTCGATACGGCGGAATGAAAATCCAAGAGGGTTGTCAGGAAACTCGCTATTTGTCAGCATTAATCCAATGCGATCACTCACACTACGCCTCTTAGTTATATAATTAATAAGCGCAGTCAGTGATTTCTGTAACAGAAATACACAGAATGAAGTTTAGTTTAATAAAAATAGATTTGTATGCATACCTTAAGCCATTCTAGAGGTGCTTCATTGGGCTCCGCATCATCAAACTTGATAGTTAACTGTTGGGCTGTCAAGTTGAATTTCTTTATTACCCGCTCTCCCTCTGACAACACTAAGAAACGTCGAGGTACTCCACGGCCAACTTGGGGTGATAATTGGTGTAGACCCGAAGTAGAGGGTTCGGAGTTAATCTGTAAAGAAGTTAATAATTAAATTCATCGTATAGTATAATTAAAGAAACACTTACATTATTAGATCCCGTAGGTGTAGCTTGTTGTAGACCGGACGTGGAATGTTGTGGATTAAGAAACTGTAAAGACGTTATCATGTAGAACTTGCACACTGAAAAATTATTATGCAACTTACATTATTTACACACGGAGCAGCACGCTTTCGATTAGGCTTTACGCCTGAAGTTGCAGGTCGTGGTGCATTCTGGAATAATGATTCAAATTAAAATATGAACAACTTTACAAAAATAAGATGAACTTACTTTCACAGTGAGGTCCATTGGCTGCGATTGGGTCAGGACGTTTTCCGAAGCCGTTTTGGATACATGGGGCTGTAATAAATTGGGATTAAAATCTGAATATTGAGTAATTGAATATAAACTTACATTTACAGTAAGGTCCAGTGGTTGCGACTGTGTTTTAGCAGTCATAGTCGGATGTTGTAAAGTATTCTACAATCAAAATTACAATTAAAATATGAGCAACTTTAAATTAAAATAAACTTACAGTGACAGTAAGATCGACGGGTTGGGACTGTGGGACGACGCCCGTATTAACTTGCTGCGCATTCTGCAGAGAAATTTATATTTAGAAATTTATAAGTGTACAAATATTAAAAACTTACCACATTTTGTTGAAGCAGGCGCGTTTGAATGGTACCCACCACATCACGAAGACGCCGGAAGTGCACAATGTCTTCTTCTTCAGGAATCACTTCACCGGAAGTTATCATATTGTGCAACTGCTCACAAACCTTAACCATGGCATCCTCGGAAAGGAAGCCAGCATCGAACGCAGCACACATGGATTTAAAATGGGCAGCCATTGCACAAGTTAAAATACACACAAAGCACAAACACAAAGATCACGTAAAAACTCGAAAAATACGCACGTACAAATGTAAGAACGCGAGTAATTCCGAGTCCCCGAAAATAAGATTTTTATATCAGAGCAGGTAAAATAGAATCCGATCCCTTCCGAACATTACCGAACGCTCTATTGTTCTCCTAAAACCGGTTTTCCGCTTGATTAAACATGATCTATTGTTTAAAATGCATGACTCATATTTCGCTAAACCTGTTTTCCGCATGAATAGCCACATTTTTTGTTCTTGTGGTCGTCTTTATGGCACCACGTC